TCCTGGCGTGTGACCACGCCCCTCCCGCGCGCCGGGCCCCGCCCCCTCCGGGGCCGAGGAGCCGCGGGCAGGGGGCGGGGCTGGGCAGCAAGGCGCTGGCGCGGATTGTTCCTCCGCCGCACCCGTAGGGAACCGCAACGTGACCTCTGCCCCTTCCAATATGGCGCCGCTGTGAGCGTGCGGCCTCCCTGCCGCTGCGGAGACCCTGCCACGGGCTCCTGGGCAGCTGCTTTGGCTGGAGGGAGTCCGACTGCTCCCGGCTCCGCAGCCCCGCGCCTTGTGCCTCTTTCTGGAGCCGTCGCGGCCACGCGGCTGTGCGTGCGCGGCAGGGGGCGCGATGCTGAGAGGCCTGAGCAGCGCGGTGTGCCGCGGGCCGAAGGTGAGTCCTGCTGCCAGGCCGCAGTCCCGGCACCGGCGGGGGGCGGGCTGTGGTACTCGCACGACACCCCCAACCGCGTGTCACTGGGGAAGCAGACCTGCGGTGCGGTGCCAAGGGACCGCTCCCCACGCACCCGGCGCTCTTTGGGAGAAGCTGCCACGCGAGTCTGCTCTGAGGCAGGGTCCGGGAGGGCTGGAGCGGCGGTAAGGGGGACTTCACCTACTCTTTGCACCTCTCGGCAGGCTCCAGCATAGATCAGAGCAACTCCAGAAGTCATGAGCAGACCTCTTGGCTGTGCAGAAATAGCTGGGGAGGAGCCTGCGGTCATGCCCTGCTCTCGGATGCTCCTGTTGTGGGGGGGGGTTGCGAGGGAAGGGGAAGTACAGTGCTGTTGTGATGACCCGATGCCTGATAGGAACCCATTCTGCTCTGGGTAAAATTGATATTGTGGCTCCTTTTCCACAGCTGCTGGTTCAAAAAAAGGATTACCTATCAGAATGACATCCTTTTACCTGCAAGTCTGATTCCCCCCTCTCCCCCCACCCCCAACTAGAAACCTCAGACCAAATGCTGGATTAAGGCATAGATGTTTCAGGCTCTTGAGTCCCATGTTATGTCAAAATCTAAGCTATTAATTGAGAAAATCAAGGGCTTTTTGAGGTAGAGCTTGCACTGACAGCTGCATCTGTCTGGAACAAACGTAGTTAAAATGGACATAACCCTCAAGCATGGATCCCATTTTAATTTCATTAACATGATTTATACTATTATAGTTCATTCCCGTAAATTTACAGGAATAAAATAGGAGGCATTTTAATAACTATAAAACTCTATACATGCAGACAAAGCCAAAACTTCTAACTGGTGGGATTTAGAAAGGACACTTTTGAAAATATGGGCTTACTGTAGCCCAGGCAGTACTGTGTTCCTGCTGTCTGCTTTTGTTGGGTGCCAACTCCAAGATCTGTTGTAACTGGGCAGTGGGAGTGTTGGCCAACACCGCCTCAACAGAGAACTCTTGTGTAGCAGGAGAAGATTGCTGTAATTTAGCCCTGTTTAAACCTACCCTGGGTTCAGTTGGTCCACTGAGCACAGAATATTTTACTATATCGTTAACCCAGTGATTATACTTGCAAACTCTACATGTCAGGCAGTGGTCTTGACATGTAAACCATGTATAGGATTTAAAGAGCTGTGTATGACATAAAATCCACAGCTCTGATCAGAAAAAGCAGAAGGCTAAGGGCTGATCTATGCTACAGACTCTTGCTGGTCCTGTTTTCTATGGGGGTGTGATCGCTAACAGTGTCCTGGCAGAAGCCCCTAATGTAAATGGTTATACCTGTAAAACTGCATTTTTAGTAGTATAGCCTGTTTTGTAGAAAACAGGGTACTTTTACTGTATCGGGTACAAGGCACAGCTCTGCATCATGCACACAAGGCATACTTTGCAAGTAGAACATACTGTATTTTTATATTGGTAGAGTGTCTCATGTATTTGCTTTGCATGTCTAGAGTGGATCACTAATAGCAAATAGAGTCATCTAGTTGTTTCTCTTGCTGTGTTACACAAGCTAAACGTTTGAACTGACATCTGAATTTTCTTTTGTTAAGAACTAGATCATTATTCTTCTGCTTGTTTCAGGAGACCATACACTTGCTGTACAAAACCCTATTCATCATTGAGCGGTATGAGGAACAGAGAATCTTTTCTAATGACTTGTTAATCAGCTTGTGGCTAATGTGGCATGGATTCCTTTGGAAACAGCTCCACCTTATGGTTTTTGTTCTCCTGACAAGTCTCAAATTTACCATATGATAGTTGCTGCCATTTAAGGGGTTTGAGTCAGGCTGATTTCCTCTGGCAGATGGAAATGGAATGTAAATGGCACTTACTATCATATCGTAGAATCATAGAAATTAAGGGCTGGAAGGGAGCTCGAAAGATCATTGAATCTAACCCCCCTGCTCTGGGAAGGAATACTGCTGAGATCAAAGATCCCAGCAAGGTGTCTCTCCAGTCTCCTCTTGGAGACTTCCAAGCTTTGGGGCTGTACCACCTCCTTGGGAAATCTATTCCAGATTCTGGTCACCCGTACCATAAAGAAGTTCACCCTTACATCTGACTTGAAACCATTGTCTAACAGTTTATGGCCATTGTTCCTTGTCCACCCCCTGGGGCACCCTAGTGAACAGTTTTTCTCCCAGCTCCTGATATTCATCCCTTATGTACTTAAATGGCCACCAAGTCCCCCTTCAGTCTTCTCTTCCCCAGGCTGAGCAGTTCCAGATCCCTTAGTTTTTCCTCATAAGGGCCTGGAGGACAAGCCTTAATCATTCTTCTGGCCTTTCTCTGGACCCTTTCAAGGTTCTCCACGTATTTTTTTGAAGAACTGGACATGGTACTCCAGGTGGGGTCTCACCAGCGCCAAGTAGAGATGCATTGGGCAAATGCATCCCAGTATGTTATTAGCTCTGTTGACTACAGCATTTTCCCCATAACTTGGTATAGTCCACAAAATTGGCCAGCGTGCTTTTCATGATAACATGTTGAACAGCACAGGGCCAAGAACCAAACCCTCTATAACAGTAATGGGCAATTATTTTGGGCAGAGGGCTGCTTACTGAATTTTGGCAAGCTATCGAGGGCTGCATGTCAGGCAGCCAGGGGCAGATAAACATTAATTTTCTAAATTTTTATAGGCTCTACAGGCTGGATGGAATGGCCTGGCAGACTGCATTTTGCACATCTCTGCTCTATAAATTGAGACTTAAGATCACTCACCCACACCCAGACTTGAACTGCCAGTCTTGTTGGCTACCAGCTTATGAGTCAGGCCCTTCAGCCACAGAGGAGGCTGCTTTTAGGGCTATAATAAATTGTTTTCAGGTCACATTTCAAATGCGTGCTTCTTTTTATATACTCATTCCCTGAGGTTAAATAAACGGAATTGTACGGTGAACTAGAGAAGTGCACAGAATGGCATGGGAAGCCTTCGACTAACCTTACAGTCTTGAGGATCAATTCTAAACCACTTTCTTTTCCCTTCCCCACTAATGAGGAACAAACCATACCACATTACTTTAGGTTGACTTTTTAATTAATTACAGTGTTCTTGATATACCCTTTTGTGGGTATAAAACAAAAATAAGCTGAAGCTCTGTTAAACAATGACTGGTAGAATGTGGTGTTCTTCCTTACCCATTCACCCTTTCTAACGTGACAATATGTTGATTCCAAGAACTGTGACTCCTGTCAGTCCTGTGCAAGAACAGTTCTATCTATAGAGCTGGGGACAAAAGTCCAGTGCTGTGGTGAGTTGCTGAGTCTTTGCTTTCCATTGCAGAGGACAGCTCCATCTCAACATGCAAATCACCCTGCAGTGCCAGAAAAACTGTTTGAGAAATGTGTCCTGTTGAATTATCATAGTCTACTGGGAATATTTTTAAATCAATGAACCACCTACTCAGGGGTTTTGCCAAATGAAATGGATCCATGAACTTGAATGAATTCAGAAGGTGTGGGTGTTTATCTGTAAAGCTCCAGGACAGTTGTTAGACAACAGCTTGTTACCCATCACCCAAAGGCTTGTCTTGGTTCCGTGCCTGTTTTAGCATGTGTAGATGGATTTCATGCCCTGCTTCTAGGAGGGTGCAAACCAGGAGATCCCAAAGGGAAACTGTGAAAGCAGAATCTTGCATAGATTAGTTTACACTGATGATTGTGAGAGACCATCACTCCACTGAGGATTACTGCGGTATAGTTCCAGAACGGTGGGTAACAAGAAACTTAACTGGCTTCAAAAAAAGAACTGGATCGCTTTTTCCAAGGCAATAAGAAGATGAGGTTGCCTACAAGAACCAGGGACTATGCTTGATGGGTAGCTGACCCCTCTCAGAGCTCTATCTTACATTTCTCTGCTGCTATCTTCTTTTTTGGATCAGCTGTCTGGGGACTAAAAGAATGCCTTGTGCTTCATGGATAATCCAGCCTTCATTGGGGCTGAATTAAAGTTGGAGATGGTGGTTGTTGAAGTCTGTAGAGCTGTATACTGTGGTCTCCCCATAGCCTCTGCCTGGAGCGTGTGGGATAGTTTGTTCCTGTCAGTGAACAATATTTAGACCAACAGTTTTCAGCCTCGTTAGAGTTGAGGCACTCCTTGAAAAAAACAGTGCTTAGTTTTCCAATACCGTAATATGGCAATTCTGTTGCAAAGAACTCAGAACACAACAGGTTGGAATGTGTTGACAGTATGGATTCCTCTTGAAATCTCTCGTTTTATCTTGTGATTTATGTTTATACACCCAACATCACCCTAGTTGAGAATCACTGATCCAGGCACAGCTTCTAGATACATTGTTCATGCTTTCTTTCACCTTGGCCTACTAAAATTGTTGTCCCTTTACCCCTTACTTCCCTACACACTTTCAGGCATGTACCAGAGAGCATCCTACCTAGGAGCCTGCATTAGCATAAGCAGCTGTTTGTTTCCACGACTCCTCTATTCCTAGGGAAGATTCTATATGTCAGAACACAGTGGTGGGGGCAGGGGGGGAAACCAATGCAGGAAATGCAATTGTAAATATAAACTAGCTGCCACACTAATCCTGCAGTAACTGAGGTGATTATGGATTACTAAACAGCTGTCATTTGCACAGTATTGGTGGTATTCATCACATAAGTAGAAACATTACAGGAACTTCCCAGCAATAAGACTTCTAATGGCTGCTTTGTGCTCTTGAGCAGCCCTTTAATAGGATCGCTCCTTTAGGCAAAGGCTCAGCTCTGTAGTGGCAGCAGACAGACTTGAGCAAACTGAAAGGGTTTAGAAAGATGCAACTGAACTTGCATAATGGCTATAACAACATTACTACTCATTTCCACACACAACTCTCTCTATCCTAAGTATTGTAATTTACTTCCTGAGCAGGGTGCATTACACTGACCCTTTCTTAACTATAGTGGGTATGTTGCTGAACTTTGCCTATAATTTTTGGTGACTGAAAAGCATTTTTTTTTCTCTCTCTAGTTGTATGCTGGACGTTCTCTCCACATCACTGCCAGGATTTGCTTAAATGCTATTGTTAATCAGGATGTCCAAATCCCTGAAGAGAAACCCCGGGCAATTTTCCGTACTAGTGAGAGCAACCCGGTGAGTTACTACCATATTTACTGTCATGCCACACAGCTAACACCCTAAGATTGTCAGTACCCTGGATATGTTAGTGCTCACTGGACCATTCTTCTTAAGTAGGAATGAAGGGAATAGGCAGATCTATTATCGTGGGTCCAGACAGGCATGCTGTGCAGCTGGAGAGGAGGGCAAACTTGGTATTGGACACCATTAATTTCAACTTCAGGATCAGTCTTCCCCAACTAACCACCACAAATTGTGAGGAAGGGGAGATGGTACCGTAACTTCATTATCCAAAATGTCTCCCTACTGCACAGGCTTCACAAGTCTAGCCTGCATCTCTCTCAAGCACAAAGTGAAGCGGAATAAATGAATGGAATAAACCTTTGAGGTGCTTTTCTGCAGCTGCTATAATTGGAGTTTCCTTTCTCCACTGATTCCTCTGGGGTCTCTATGGAAACAGCAGCATGCAGATGATCTAGTCATGTGATCAGAGCATCTCTATAGATGGCACAGAAGAGTCCAGATGGCAAGAATAGTCTCCACTGGCCTGTACCTAGGATTTATGCTGCCAGACAATTGAATTTTATTTAGCATTTTCACTGCACATTTCACTGAAATATATTTGACAACAACAATCAGCACTGTTTAGTGTATCAAATCCCTACAATATTTGTCCATATTGTAGATAATAGTTTAAGGTATAGAATTGCTTCTGATAGCACCAGTGTCTGGTTATAGGAAACCCTCATTAAACCAACGGTGAGGAGACTACATAAAACAGCTGTCTTCATCAGTCAATCTTAAAGTGCCTTATAAAGGAGGTCTACATCTTTATTCCCATTTACAACCGGAGAAATGGAAGGGTGAGGTGCCATGGCCCTCCTCCTGTATCTGTCTCCAAGCCCTAGCTCTATGGGGTGGGGGGGGTGTCCAAATCTTAGTTAGCAAAAAGCATCTGAAAAACCTGCAAGAGAGCTGGGCAATGTTATAGCCAGCAGGAAGCAACATAACCTGCTGACTAACCTGCTTTACCACTTCAAAAGACATTGTGTACCACTCCCATGCTAAATAAATGAAACTTGGAAGCAAGACTGTTCTGACCTTACAGAATACAATAGTTTTTCTGCCAGGGTGATCCCTTATTTTGCCCTCCCCAATATCCCCACCCCCAGTTCCTTCAGGGGCCCCTCTGCACAGCAGCACAGTCTGGTTCTCCTGTTTGTTAGTGTTTTGTATTTTACTCACAGGCCAACCATACAGAGCAACATGACTGTCAGCACTATAGCATCCCACTAGAGGAGGTGAAGGTGATATTTCCCCATGGACTGCCTCGCCGGTTCAAAGAGCAGGTAACTCTGCCTCAATGAAGCTTTGGAGGTTGGATTGGGGAGGGGATTGAGACTGGAATTCTTTTATTCTGGGGTAGAAGGGCTACATACAGGCATGTTTAGGCAGCCCTTAAATTGAAAAGAAAGATTGCTTTGGGTCTTTTGGCAATGATAATGTGCAGCTGTACATGAGCCAGAGCAGAGCTGTTTCAGGCAAGGGGGTGGAGATCAGTGGGATGTTGCCTAAATCTCTCCATTTCAAATCCAAAATGTTACAGAGCTAAACTGTTCCAAATCACAGCCCTTACTCACCTTGGGTCCAAGAGACTGTCTCATGCAATGGTTTTAGACCAGCAACAGAGAACTTGCTCTTGCTGTTCCTCAAGAGTTTAGTCAGTAGATACAAATGCCACCTTCATCAGTTCCTGAACTCAGATACAAATGAATCGAAAAAGGAAATTGGCCATCGAAAATTCTTTAGAATTCCGGTGCTTGTCAGCAGTGGGGCAACCTCTCTGAAGTCTTCCATGGCTCTTTCCTCTTCACCTTGGTTTTACCGCACTGTGCCATCAGCTTCCTGGCTATGACTGGACCTTTGTAGTTCTCAAAGGTATGAGGGGAGCTTAAGACTGAAACACTGCTGTTGTCTACTTGCCCCAAAGTCTTTTCAGACTAATCTTTCACCCATTAATAACAAGACATAAATGAAGCCTGAATGAAGCCTCTGTATTTCTGAAGGGGAGTTTACACCTGGTTCTGATGTGATGCATGAAAAATAAGGCCAACTGGCTTAAATGTGTTACAGTAGGAGGAAGGGTTGTCTGGTTTGTTTCTTTGCACCTTTAGGTATTGGCCATTGGATACAGCTTGGGACACATCCTTAAGACTGCTATGCATTTATCCAGACACTGGTTAGCAAAGAGTATTGTTTGGGTTTGATATTCAGAATAGCAGGTTACTTTCCAGTGTGACAGTGAGGTCAACTAAAAGGACTTAGCATTCAAGTAATATCATGCTCTTGTATGTATTATAAATCAAAATACACTGATCTGTTATCTGGCAGGTTTTATGAGTTGAGTCTGTCATCTGGCCAGTGAAGATTAGTTACCACAGACCCAAAGGAAAGTAGGGCTGGAAGGGACCTCTGGAAATCCAACCCTCTGCCAGAGGCAGGATCACTCCTGTGCAAACCATCCCATACAAAACCTTGTCTAACCTATTACTAAAATTACAGTCAGCCCTGTCACAGGTTGTAGCACCCTAACCTGTGACACAAAGCATGGGCACAAAAGCAGCCAGTGTCCTGCTGCTGCAAGTATTGTTAAAATATGCTTGAAAGTAAAAACCTTCCTGTGAAGGAAGGTTAGAGCAGAGTCAAAGAGCTAGAAGGGACCTCTAGAGGTTCTCTAGTCCAACCCCCTGGCTGAGGCGAGAAATATATACAAGCCTTAAAATTGAACCCATGTCTCCTGCATGGCAGGCAAGAATTCTACCATTAAACTACAAGCCTAAGCAATTGAGGTACAGAGAGGAAGAGGCTAATTTTGTCACAGATGGTGCTATGGAGCCTAAAAAGACCTGCAGGGGTAGAGCTGCTAGTGCATGCTAGCAGCTCTGCATGTGAAACTGCAGGGTAGCAGCTGCTAGTGCATGCTAACAAGCAACTCTTTGTTCACATTTTTCTCTTTCAGATTGAGACCTTCAAAGAAGCCTGTCTGATGGTGCGGAAACCAGCTCTAGAGCTTTTCGGTTACCTAAAAAGCACCAACTTTGCCCAGCCAGCCATCAGATATGTCCTCTGTATCCTTTGCTTTTCTCTGTGCTGGAAGTCAATAGAGCTTCTAGCAAACTGAAAGCATTGGTGGCGTTCTAGCCTCATGTTGGGTTGGGTATAGATGTGGAATAGCCTCAGCTTCCCTATTTCTTGCCTTTCTGGGCTACATCCAGACAAGCGTGGTCATGCAATATGTGGTGCCACAGACATATCTGCGCATTCAGTTGTTCTCCACGCTGCAAGAGAGTGGTGTGGGGAAAAAAATGTGGAGTGGTGCACGTGGCGGCAGCATGCACTGCCCAGAGTCAGAGCCTGGCCAGCTGGAGCCACACTCCACTGCCAGTCAGCCAGGCGCTGCACTGCAGAATCACCACTGCTGCAGTCCTGGGAACACCCCTGGTAAGCACTGAGCTGGCCTCAGACTCCCCTACCTCACCTGGGTAACCTGCCACGTGCCAGAACACACATGGCACAGGTGTTCCCTGGTGACAACTAGTGGCAGCACAAGGTGTCCACACATCTGGATGCAGCCCTGAGGTTTTCCTTAATCGATTGTGTTGAAGATGGAGAGAGGGGAACTGGAAAAACAATGACGCTCTGCCATGCTGTTCATTACTGTGCAAAGCAGGGCTGGCTGGTGCTGCACATTCCAGATGGTAAGCTCAGAAGTGTTTTTTGAGTAGGAAATGCCATCTGTGCCTCTAACTAATCTATAGGGAAGGTATTGCTGGTGGCGAACCTTATGGAATAGGAGACTTGACTTATGATAGGGAGATTAAAGGTAAGAAGTGAAATACACTACAGTTGAACAGTGTAGCTCCCCCTGCCAAACACATGTACACACATGGCCTTCTGATGTGTTGCTACTAACTAGTGAGTCAGGTACTAGTACCCCAAGGTAGGGACCGTGCTGTAGGCAAAGATGTGCACTCCTGGTGTTTGATCTGGGGCTCCTTCTATGTTCACTGTATGCTGTGGAGAGTTTGTGGTGAATACAGTGAAGCAAGGAGGGAAAAAAGTCAGAAGAGAAAAACCTAGGGATTTGTTAGTAACAGAACATGATAACTGTTTGCCACCTTTTTTTCTTTCTACCTCACAGCTCATCTCTTGGTAAAGAACTGCAAGAAACTTCTGCAGTCTTCCTATAAAACAGAACGGTTTGACCAACCTTTGCAAGCATCTGCCTGGCTCAAGAATTTCAAAACTTCAAATGAACACTTATTGAGAGAGGTTGGTAGAGCTGACCAAGTTGTTTGCATTAAGAACCAAATGAGAATCCACAAGTGCAGTTTCCCCAGAGGACAATATGGAGATATGCTTTCTCATTACCAGGGGGTGGGGTGGGGATGGCCTGGATCACCTTTCTTCTGAGATGCATTTTATCATGTTGGGAGTGAGAGTGCACTAACATTATTTAAGATGCCTCCACCCCTGCAACTTATTTGGATGTAGGTTTCAGTGGGAGTGGAAACACTTTAAAGAGCCCTTGGTAATACAAGCTAGAGACTTCTTCAGCCTATCCTTGGATGCTGCACAAAGATACTGTTCTGCCTCTATCTCCCAGCAAACATAGAAAGGGGAAGGATTCTATTCCCAGGCTTGCTGAGCCTGCTTGGAAATGGGAGCAGGACTATATCAGTTGCATCCATCTGAACTCTCTGACCCTTCTTTCTGTTACAGATAAAAACGCAACAAAAATACATGTGGAACAAGTGGGATAGCACTGAAGAAGGCAGACCACTGGTTGAAATGGTAGAACAGGTGAGAACAATAACTGCCATTGGTATTGCTGGAACAGGATGATGAACTGAAAGTGATGCCAAGGCCAGAGTAGGGAATGAGAATAATCTTCAGTGCTTCTAATAGTCTAAATCCTCGTAAGCAGGAATGGCTTGTTGTCCCCATGTTATTGATGGGAAAACTGAGACAAGTTAGTAACGTGGGCCCCAGCAGGAGTTGCATAGAAGAAGTCTGTCAGCGCTCAGATTAGAACTTGAGAGTTCTTGGGTTTTATCCCTGCACTTAGTCCATTAGACCTGGGTGCCCGTTTGGGAACAAAGGTTGAAACCTCATATTTCATCTCCCTTTGTGCTTCTCAGGGGGGTGGGTACCAAAGGCTCCCAATGGTGTGGCTGGTGGTCGTCTTTCTACTAATGCTGTGCTTTTCCCTCTTCTAGGGTATAACTCGAATGAAGACTGCCACTGATGTTGTGGGGGCTGTGCTTAAAGAGTTAAAGAGGCAGTGTTCCCTTGGTTCATTTAAACTTCTGGTGGCAGTGGATGGAGTCAATGGCCTCTGGGGAAAGACAACACTGAGGAAGGGAGACAAAAGCTTAGTAAGAAATTACTGCTTTTGGTGTGTTTAAGTACATTTCTTGCAAGAGAGACCTGAGGGGCAGGTTTTATTTGGCCCTCTGGATGATGACTGATCTGTGGCTGGTTTAGCCAGACATAATTTTTTGTATTTCAGAGGGTCCTTTCAAACTCTTCAGTGAAGATCATAGTGTAGAACATGGAATTGACTTCCTGTAGTAAGGAACAGCAAGGTATTCATTGCAGAGGCACTGAGGTGTAAAGATGGAGGAAGCACGCTATCTGTTGGAAGTGCTGTAGAGAAGGGTCTTGCACCAGTGCTGAGACGAACCTGGGAAAACAAGTGCTACAGGAGAGGATTCAAAGTGCAGATCTATGTACGAGGGATTCTAAATACAGCGAGGGCAATCTTGATTTGGATTCTGAAAAGTAAGGGGAGCCAGGTCATTAGGAGGCAGATAGTGGGCAAGCCATGGCTTCATTCTGGACAATGCTGTACCTTGGACAGCTGTGATCTGGAAAGATCTTGGAGATGAGGAATGCAATCTGTATTCCTGACAGGAATGCAATAGTCCCTGTGAGAAAAGGTTAAGGCCTTAGGAAGGTGAGACATGACTAGATCTGCAAACACAGGAGATTGGAATCAAGGGTGATGCCAGATTTTCCAAAAAGGAAAAGGAAGGATCAAGGTGAGGCAGGGAAGAGAGCACATACTAGTTAGGCCAGTGGTTCTCAACCTTTTTGATACTGCGGTCTGCAGTGGAAGTGATTGTGGACTGGCATTCTGCGGACTGGAAGTGACTGGCATACTGTGGACCAGCAGCCAACCCTTCTGGGCCATGGCCCGGTGGCTGGGAACCTGCGAGGTTAGGCTGTTGAAAGACCCCAAACTTGCTTACTGAGAGTCTGTATAAGTTAGGGATCTTACTCAGTGGCACCCTTTTACCTAATCCTCGGAGCTACTGTCTACGTTTAGTGTGACTATAAGTCTCACATGCAAAAAATGTACTCCCTTAAAAATATCTCTTGCCTTAGAACAGTGATGCACACACCCGTGGGGGTTGGAGGCGGTGGCACGCAATGAACTTTTAGAAGAAAAAGAAGAAAAAATGAATGATTGTAAAATCTTGCAGTTGGGGAGTTACAGTCCAGTGGTAATGATGGTGTTGTATTATCACCATCCATAACAGTCATGAGTGCTCAGCAGGAAAACAGGATGGTGCACACTAGAAATGTTTGAGAAGCACTGTATATCAGCAAAGCAAAAGTTCATCTTGGGGCAAAGGTCTTGCTGCTGAGGAGCTGCCATCACCTTTTTCACTCAGTAAAACACCAGACAGCCCCTAACTTCCCTTGACCTGTTCCCCATGGGTAGGGTGGGAACTTGGGATGCCATTCCTCGACCACCTGCTTCTGACACTCTGTTTTCAACAGATTTCTACAGAGGAATTGGCCCTGGTCCACAACCTGAGGAAGATGGTGATGAATGACTGGGTGAGTGCTGATACAAACCTGCAGAGAACTTAAGGTGCAGGGTTCTCACAGCTAAAAGCTGACACCTAGAGCAGTGCTGTCATCTTTAGGACTTACTATTGGGAAATATACTCTAACAGTTTTATGCTTGCTTTGTTTCTTTCTTTCATAGGCAGATGTATTTTTGAAAAAAACCCTTTATGTAATGCTTTGGTTAGATGTCTGTATTTATTGTTTCCAATGCTTAGCATTCTAACTTGTGTTGAATATTTGCTTGGAGTGGCCAGAACTAGAATAACTGGTATCTTGCCATAGCCTCTTGTACACCTCACGAGAGCTTCTCCAGTGGGAGATGCTGTAGAGCAGTTTTTGTCAGCCTGCAGGTCATGACTCAAAAGCAAGTTGCAAGAATATATAAAAGGGTCATGAACAAACTTAAAAAATAGATTCTCCTTTAAAGGAGAAGAGTGTGGGAAACAAGCTTTTCTCTTGCAGGCTGGCAGAGCTCCAGTCTGCAAGGAGCTGCTTGGGCTCCCCCATCCCACACACTGGGAGGCTGGGACGTGGGGCGGGGCAGGGAGTCGGGACTGAGGGGCACTGGGTCAGCCATTGGTGTTTACAAATTGGTCCTGGTACAAAAAAGGTTGTGAACCACTGCTGTAGAGCCAAGCCCATCCACACTGAGTGGCAGCGCTGTCAGTGAGGAGCTCCATTCCCTTCGGCTCTGCCTCCTGAAAAAGGCTGGAACTGACACTTGCTCTTTGGGGCAGCTATCCACAGCATTCCTGCCTTGTGCCCGGCTGCCTGCTGTAACTATCATATTGGCAGAACCTCAAAACAAGGGACTGACATTAAAGCGTATGGGAGAAAAATACATGATATCCACGTGTGTGTCTTACAAACTCCTAATTTATCTCCATGTTTCAGAATGGAGGTGCCATCGTGACTACTATTTGCCAGACAGGCTCCGTCTTCAAACCACGCCTTGCTTATTTACCCCATGAGCTGCTGGGAGATGTAAGTCATGACTTCTGGTTCCTTTGTTGGAGCATATATAGAAATGGAAACAAAAATGCTGATGTGGAAGCAGCAGTCTCAGTACATGTGCTAGCTTGAGTCTGCTACTACCTGAACCTTGCTCCATTCAGTCACCTTTTGCATGTTGTTCTTGGCTCAGTCTCCCTGTTCCCGTGTGTCTACTGACCTCCCCTTCAGTGTGTCCCGTGTGCATGACCGTTCATATTCCAAGGTAAATTCTCCTTTTTTGTTCTTTTTCACCAGCCTCCTTCTGCACAAAAAACCTAGCTAGGCACCTGACTTCTCTTTGTTCTCCTGTCTAGGTAACATGCAATAGATACCTTCTGTTTTGAAGCAGTTCTTCCTGAACCTGCTCATGCCTAGCAGAGCCTTATCCCTTGGCAGCTCAGGCAGCTGGGCTGAAGGTTTCCTGCTCAATGTGTCTGATGATGGGAAATTAGAGGGTCTGTTATATGCCTCATGCTCTCACTTTTTCCCCTTCAGGAGGGCTTCAGTGCCTTGGAACCGTTTGTTCCCATCCAGGTTGCCAAGTACAGTGAAAAGGAATTTGAGAGCTGTTACCAGTATTATCTTGACAGAAAGTGGCTTCAACATGAAAAAGGTGAGATCTGTGCTAGGGAACCAAGAGCACACACTAGGTGCAGTGCTTTCAGCTCCATCTCTGGTGCAAAAAAGATGAGCCCTGCCCCCTTCACACCATTTTTACCTGTTTATTCAAAAAAAAAAAAAGAAAAGAAAACCATTTTGGTTTTTGAAACAGAAAAAAAACCCGACAAACAAACTTTAGAGTTGTTAAGCGTGGATAAAGCTTTCAAAGAAAGATGCAAAGTTAGGAGAAGGTGCGCTTCTCAAACACAAACCCTCTGGGGCAAGAGGTGTGTGTGGAGCCTCAAATGGGGAATCCCTGTAAGGGCTGCACTTAGGAGAGGGGCGGGTTGTAAGTGAGGGGTAAAGCTGAGCGGCACTTGGTGCATCTTGCAGCTCGCTTTCCAGCGCAGGGCGCGAGTTCTCCTTCTTCCGGGCCCGGGGCGGCGGGGCCCGGGGGTCGGGTGCGGACGCTGACGCGTAGCTCTTGTCTCCGCAGCGCGGACGCCAGACGGGAGAGCGGAGCTGCTGTTCTTGAGCGGCGCCAACCCCGCGCAGCTGGAGCGGCTCGCGGCCATGCTGTGAGCGGGGCGCGGCGGGGCCGCATCCGTAGCGTGCAATAAAGACAGAGACAGAAAGCCGCTGCGTCTCGTTCTCGTGCTTCTGCCTGGCTGGGCGGGGGCGTTGTCAGGGGATCCCGGAAGTGCAGTGACGTGCGACGCAGCAACTTCCGACCCCGCAGCCAATGGGGTTCTTGTACAGGGGTGTCGTCACGTCCGGCCCGGCGGTGGCGGGAGCGGGATGGCGGCGGTGACACTGCAGCTCGGGTCCTACGCGGGCTTCGTGGGCGCGCACTGGTGGCAGCTGCAGGCGCGCGGCGAGGCCGGGGCCGAGCTGCGGGCGGACGCGCTGCACCGGG